ACTAAAAGGTACTAATGCTGCCTTTTAGAAAGGTGACTTCTACTTACTTTGTAGGACCATAAATAAGGCAAAACAAAATAGATTGAAAAAATAAATTATATAGGCATCTTTAAAAAGAAGTTAAGAGTAAATTCTAACAAAATTTATTCAAAAAAACTAGATATTGATACTTGGAGAGGGCCGGTTATGAACTAGGGTCGAAATCAGACCCTGAGGCACAAATTTGAGTCTCGACGACGACTCTAGGGTTCTTTTGTAAATCAAAGAATGGAATTTGATAGAAGATTGGATAAGGTTTCTATGAGCATTGATTTTGGGCAATTTGGAGTTGTTATGACTTTGTAAGAGCTTTACAAAGTCAAGATTATTCTTGGATGATTTAGATTTTTTGAAATAAAATAGGATTGATGTTTCTAGTGATTTCAAGAGTTTTGTAACAAATATACAAGTGAAATTTTGTAGGTTAATGGTCATAGTTGTGCTTAATATGTGTTGTAAATCTTAGCTCGATTTAATAGTTGAATTGAGGGTTATTGAGGTTTAAGTGAGTCAAGGTCTCAAAAAGTAGAATTTTAGGTCTAGTGAGGGTTTTTAAGATTTCTTACAATCTACTAGTTGGATTGGAGTGAAATTTATGTGAGAGAATATAAGAATTTTTTTTCTTTGTGTATGAGAATTTTGTAATCAATCGAACAGTGAAAAGGAGAGATATTGGCTCTAAGAGATTAGCATCAAGGTTAAAGAAGGAGGCCAGTCAATACCTGAGCATGTTTTTTAGGTTATCATCTATTTGGTAATTCCGATCATGTTCAAAAAATTTGTGCTTGTTTTCAACTTAGTTTTTAAGAAGTGTGAAAAATTTGAGTTAAGATCAATGGTTTATTCATTAGTTATTGAGGTTTAAATCTGTTATAGAAATTACTAGGATTTGTTTAAGGTTTGATTTAGGATTAGGATTAGGATTTGGTTAGGATTTGATTTAGGATTAGGATTTGATTAGGATTTGGTTAGGATTTTATTTAGGATTAGAGTTTGGTTTAGGATTTAGGATTTGGTTAGGATTTGGTTTAGGATTTGATTTAGGATTAAGATTTAATTTAGGGTTTAAGATTTGATTTAGGATTAAGGTTTGATTTAGGATTAAGGTTTGATTTAGGATTTAGGGTTTAGAATTTGGTTAGAGTTTGATTTATGATTAGGATTTGGTTAGAGTTTGATTTGTGATTAGGGTTTGATTTAGGGTTTAAGATTTGATTTAGGATTTAGAGTTTGATTTAGGATTTAAGGTTTGGTTAGGATTTGATCAAGATTTGATTTAGGATTTAAGGTTTGGTTAGGATTTGATCAGGATTTGATTTAGGATTAGGATTTGGTTAGGGTTTGATTTAAGATTAAGATTTGGTTTAGGATTTAAAATTTGATTAGGATTTGGTTAAGGACTTAGGATTTGGTTTAGGATTTGATTTAGGATTTAAGGTTGATTAGGATTTGATTTAGGATTTAGGATTTAATTAGGGTTTGATTTAGGATTTGATTAGAATTTAGTTTAGGATTTAGGATTTTATTAGGATTTAAGATTTAATTAATTTTTGGCCTAAAGTTTGAATGAAGTCCAATAGGATTTTAAGTAGGATTAAATTAAGATTGAATTGAGATGTATTTGAGATATCTTTGTGATCATTCTAATATTTCTTTAAGATTTCTTATTGTTTCTTTGTAATTCCTTTGAGGTTTCTTTGAATTTGATTAAAGCTTGCTTAGCATTGTTATGGTCTAATTAGACTTTAGTTAATATTCTATTATAGTTAGGATTTTATTGTTACAATTTCCATTCTTTCTTCTACATCCAAGTGCCCGGAGCATTCTCAAGCAAGACTTCACGTATTACGACAACGTAGTTCCTGATTAAGAATATATATGGAGGCAAGAATGAAGCCTTCTTCACTCTTGTTAATGTTTTTTTAGTCCTAAGTCTTGTTTCAAGACTTTCTAGTCTTCTTGTTTTTGGCAATAGCCATTCTAGTTTAATATTACATCACCTTTTGAGTGACTTTTTAGTTCTCTTCAGTGATACAAGAGAGTATTAAGGATTTTCTTTCTTCAAGACTCATGTCCTTTACAATAAGAAATATTAGAATTTATAATAACAGTAAGATATTAGTAAAAAGTTCTAAAATAGCTTTAAAGCCATAAGATAGAATGATCTAGTTTATTATAAAACTTTAAAATATATAATTGTCTTTAATTTATTTTAAAAGGTATTATAGTTCTTGAAATGGATTTTAAGTAAAGTATAGATGATTTAGTATTCATGATCTCGATGATTTGTAATTTATAAAGATAATAAATTAAAGCAAGTGCTTAACATCTTTATAGAACTTAATTAATAAAGTAAGATTTGATATTTTAAAACTATATGATATTATAGTTCAATCCAAAAACATATAAAGAAATATCATTTAAGAATTTTAGAAGTATTTATAAGTTTTTTTTCAAGTGTTTAAAGATTATTAATAACTACATAAAATAATTTGTTTAGTTTCATTTGTTCTTGAAAGAATTCAAAAAATAAAATATAAATTAGAATGAATTTATTTAATAAAATATTATTATATTAGTAGGGTGTTGCTAATACTACAACTTGCCACTCACTAAAACTTATCATCTATGACATGCCATCATAATTTTTGCTAATATCACTACAAGTTGCTTTAAGCTTACATTGCATACCATAATGCACTTTATTGAACACTAATATACATATCTATAAAGAATGAGCACTTTATCTATTATGGTATATATTAGCAATTTTTTGTAAAGTACATTGTGGTGATGTTAAAGATAAGAACTTAGAAAATGAAAATAAAGATTTGAATGAGAAAGTATTTATATTCAAGAAAAAATTGGAATAGCTATTATCAAAGATAAGAAGGGTATAGACTCTTAAAACTAGATCAAAAGCAAGAAAGAAGTTGACAAGAGTGAAGAAACCCTCACTATTGCTTCTATATATGGCGACATTCTATAGAACCAACAATATTTGTCCATCTTGTAGAATAGGCATCAAACTTATAAGATAACTTTCTTATATGTACGACATGTGGCCAACTTGTTGGTTGAGTTGTTAATCTATTAATCACCTACAAACACGTACAAAATCAAATCTGCATCCAAAAAGCTTCAAAGAAGCTTTTGCATAAGATATTATATCACTTATATATATTTTAAATAAAAATAGAAGTAATTTTTATTTACTTCTAATTAATTCGTCTTATCTAAGTAATTACTAGTATTATTTATGTTTGTGATAGGTGTGCATTAGCAATATATTGTAAAAGACATTGTAGTGTGCAACGCAAGTTTAAAGCAACATGTAGTGCCATTATCACAAACTATAATGGTATGCTGTGAATAGCAAGTAGTTGTGGAAATAGCAAAAATTGTAGTAGAAATAATAATATTCTATTAAGATAATCAAAGTAAAAATGTTATATAAGCAATTGTGTTATATAATAATATTATCTTCATATAAATATATAAATACCTAAAACTTATTACTGATTTTAAATAAACTACTACTAGTCTAAATTTTCACCTAAAAAATATATATTATGATAGAAATATTAAAAGTCACGTTTTGAATTAGAAAGAGAATCTATTTTTTATTATATTTATATTTTATATATTTTTTATATTTTTTTTTAATATAATTTTAAATTATAGAAGATCTCTAATATTTTATTAAATCTTAAAAATTCAAGTTTTTTTTAAAAAAAACCATTATTATAAGCTATTTTTTTCTTTTTTCTTTTTTAATAAGTATTGTATTTATAAAAAAGTAGTTAAATTTATATTTTTGAATGAGTATTAAATATATATATATATATATATATATATATATCTTTTTAAATATAATATTATTTTTAAAAAATATATGTTATAAAATAATAGAATAATTCAAAAATTCTTACTTATAAACTATGATAGTACAAATTGAATGCATAGTACAAATTGAATGCATTGTACAAATTGAATGCATACATGCATATATATATATATATATATATGCTATTTTTGTATAATAAACAAAACATAACATTACTAATTAGAATTTCGATTAATGTCTAATATCAAATTGAAAAAATATAATATTCTTAAGAGAGGTATTTAATAATGTATAAGTGCATCAATATCATTTATTCTTGTCAACTATTAACCTTAAAAACAATTGTACTTTACACTAAGGGAATCAAGTACAAAATTTCATAGTCTATTATGGTTTTTCTATTATGATTTGGTTTCCACCAAAAATATGGAAACTAATGAGCAGAACGTTAACATTGTGTAGAGACACAACCTAAACACAACAACAGCCATAACTTTGCCCTTCGCCACTGCCCTAAATTTTCATGGATAAATTCATCCTCCCTCTCTTCCCAATTAGTAAGTTCACAAATTCTGAGTTCACCTTGAGGGCTTCACCACTTGGTCCTTTGCCATTGCCACTCGTAATATTTTGTCCCTGAGTATTTTGTTCACATCTTTAATTGTAAAATAAATTACTTCATACATGAGAATACAACGACAGGATTTCATTTGTATCCCTAATCTATCTTCATCTGCCTTCGATTCTCGCATTAGAGAGCGTGGCAAACTGCTAAAAACTCAACTGGTACAAAATTATGTCGTTGGAAAACCTGAGTGTGATCAGCACGCACGATTGTAATTCTCCTTATCAACAAGAGAAATCCAGTACGGCGAGGTTCGTTCATGAGGTTCCCTTGTCTTCTCACAGAATCTTCACTGATTGTTAAACAAACGTGCTACAACCTTATCCTCGATCTCTTCATGTTAGATATACTGCAGATTTCGGAAGAACGGATGAAACGTGAGAGGAATTCATAAACTGGTTCGAATCTAGATACTGCCAAACAACAGACAAAATTTCTCAAAGCATGCTTATTAGTTAAATTCACTACATCTGTAATTGCTCTACAAGATAAATGCAATCGCATTGTTTGTGAGTACATGTAAAAACCAAATCTGTACACATTTTTTTCCAACTGCTTGACTTAAACTGATACACAGCCATTCTGATCCAGTTGTCAGCTCTATGATAAAAATCAATTGAAGTACTCCATATCCAATCAACACATCGTGCATCAATCAAAATTAATCAGAGCTCAACAGATACCCTACAACTGTTCAGATTCCAATTGAACCCTAAGAACTTCTGTACAACAATTTAACCACCATTGGCACCCTTGCATCCCACCTGTCAAACGAAACTTTGCAACAAATATACTGGAGCACCTCAAGAGTTCCCTAGTGCTCATTACAGCCCCATCAGAAGTAAATTTGGCGACATTGATTGGCTGTCGTCTCCAGAGGACAATAGGGGCATTTGAACATCCTCGAGTTGCTCTTGGTGAGCTTCTGGATCGACTGCTTGCACAGGACGTGGCCGCAACACATGAGCATTGGAGGGTTGTCTGCTGTGCTCTGCTCTCGTGACACAGGGCATGCGAATACGGAGTGAAACTGAAACGAGTTGTCTAGCGGAATCTCAATAGGCATCTGTTTCAGAGCTGCCCATTCCTGCATTGGTTCAAAAATAAATAAATAATAATCCTTCGTCAGTTCCACGACGAACCTTAATAACTTTGGAAGACATCTCCAAACTCGGACACTGCAAGTTACTCCCTGATCTCAGCATTCAGTAACTACAACTGCAACACAATGCAGTATGCATGCGCACCTGAGACACTGAAGTGAACAAGAGAACAATGGAAGAGGACAGATGCACACCTGCTTCTTGGAAGACATGACAGTAGCGAACTTCAGCAAAGACGACAGTGCTTGGGAGCCTGCAGAGAGGGTGACGTATAGTGGGCTTTCGTACGGTTGACCTAAGAGATTGCAACACTGCCTTGTAAATTCCAAGGCAACTTTATCCCAATGAGCCGAAGAGAGGAGGTCTTTGTAGGGAGAAAACTCCAGTCGGTTAGCCCAGAGTAGACAAGCCATCAGTCTCTGGATGCCAGACATGTACTCGGCAGAAAAAGGAAGAAAGTTCAGCTTTGCATACTCGAGCGCTTCACCACGCCCTTTGGTTGTCAGCACGTGAACAAACTGTAGCTGGTGCAATTGAAACTCCAATGAAGATCCCTACACAATCGATCATACATACATATTCACTGAATGAGAACTCCTAAAGGAAGAACTGGTCACCAATGCCCTAAAGGAAAATAATCGCCACTGACTGTCCATATAGCAACCACGCAATAACATGCGTGAATGACTAATTGCATAATCATCTTGCAGTGTAGGAATAAGACAATACGCCTCTACAGAAGCACGGTAGAACATAACATTGTTGCGTACCTTGGCTTCCAAGCTCTGTCGATTCTTCCTAGCCCAATTCAACGCCGGCTCCAGGTTCTTCGCTTGAAGTTGATCTAAATTTTGATACATTTCATAGAGGTGAGTCTTCAATGCTGCAGCTGCATTAGATTCTTGTGATTCCTTGGCGAAGCAATCGCCTAATTCAAACAATCCCAGCCGATAGAAATGCTGGACTATGATCTGATTGATCAAGTGACTATCAAATTCAACATCTCTGTATGCTTTAGCAATGTCTGGATTGAAGGATTTGTCCAGAATTTTTCCATATTTGCTTGTAGTTGTATTGAGCTCCTTCTGTGAAACCCCGATCTGCAAGGTTATGAAGTTAGGCTCCTGTACTACGAACGAAGTACTCGTGCCCTCAACAAGCAAATGCTATGATACCACAGAACATAGAATTACTGTCGTGCCTACTAAGGATAAAGACTAAGAGACGAAAAGCATTTCCTTACTCGGCTGAGGGGACCAATTTCATTCAATTTAATTTGTAGGTCTCTGAGTACTCCCTTGAGAACTTCAACCGAGCAATCCTCAATCTCATTCAAATGTTCTGCAGCTGCCTCGACCTCGTGAAGTGTTCGGTCAATCACCTCCTGAGTCTTCGTGTAACACAGCTTTTGTTTCTTAGCTACACGATCGAATGCCTCTTGAATCGAGGTGAAGTCCATCTTGCCAGCTGGTTATGAACTGCAGTAAACCGTCCTGATCTAGGAATAAGACGCTTGTCCCAAGGATCCTAGGTCACCCAAGGAAAGCCCTAATGGGCATACTCCCTTCGCCTTGCACTTGATCCAACTCTAGACCCCACTGTCCGCTCCCCTTTCATACCCTCACCTCTAAATGTATCCCCACAAAGCGAGCTTCCGTTCAGATACTAGAGACGCCTTACAGAAGACGCTATCTCAAACCTAATTAAGTCCAACGAAAAGGAGACAAAATCCTTCCCACAATGAGTCTTCCTAAACTGGAACCTAAAAACCGTGAATTCTGCTCTACCCCCAGGAAACAAATTCGATATGCGTAGTAAGAGAAGAGGCCGATTCTCAAAACAGAGTACTACTCGGAGCTAATTTCAGAGCAAGACAGCCACCACCTTCAAAGGAAACCTAATTCTCAATTCCAAACGGAATCAGGAAAATGAAAAATAAAAACATCAACACCAGGCACGCAATCCACTACGCCAGCATCTTCAGTGAGTCTCACAAAAAGGCTGGGAAGACGAATTCCCCACACAAATTCTTCGACAGCTGGGCCGACACAAACGCAGATGCTAACCTGGTGCAACGAATCCCAGAACACAATTGCACTGCTCCTCGTCTCGTCTCGCTGCTGCTGCATCCACTCCTCAAGATCCACCCCACCTTCTAATCTCTCACTCACCTTTTCTTTCCCTTCCCAATCGCCAGATTCTGCTTCTTCTCCTCGTTGACCCACCTCACGGATTCCCTTTCCCAGCCGGCCAGTCAACCTTGCTTCCACTCTTCCCCACCCCAACTCCAACACAAACCTCCCTCACTCAAACACTCCCTCTCACTCACTTACTGCGGATGTCTGCTCCTCTCGCTTCTCTCTCTCTCACCCCAGCCCCACCACCATGCCACAAATACACACAACACTCCTTACCTCCAAAGCTTTTTTTTCTCGCCATAACACTCGACAGATTCTGGAAAGAAAAACGGGCCAAAAACAAAATAAATCAAAAATAATAATAAATAAATAAATAAATAAAACTCAAAAGATGGGAAACATAAGCCGAGCCTCGCTGATATTTAGTGATTCTCACAGGTTGCTATACATGCTACCAGTATTTTCTGGAGGTCATGTGTTTGTGTATGTGAATTTGTGTGTATACACATATATATATATATATATATATATAAATAGGTAAACATATGGTAACTGCTCTTTGAATATTCTCTTCATGTCATGGAGTGAATTGTTTTCTATGCATACGTGACTTGATGATATGAAGAAAGGAAAGGAAAAGAAAAGAAAAGAAAAAACATTTTTGTGATTGAAACATCTATGTGAGAATTTGAATCTTGTTACATGTCTATGATTGTGGCTGAATTTGGAATATTATGATAATGAAAAAGATTGGATGTCTTGTTTAAGTGGACATAAATTTCAATACATTATTTTGCATTTATTTTTCAAATACTCGTTTTTCTGTAAATTATAGTTTAAAAAATTATAGACAGATGTACATTGTTAATAATATTTTTCTTATTAGATATACATAGAGAGAGGAAGAAATAGATTACTAATTTACATTGTTATTGTTGTTATTTTAAAAATTTCTACATGTATAAGTTATAACAATAAGTACAAATTCAACCATTTTGGTAAAAACTAAAGACATTTTTTGCATTTAGCATTTATTTTTTTTATATTTACTAAATATTATTATAAAAAAATATTTTAAATGATTTTTTAAATATTCTTATATAAATTTTGAAAATTTAAAAGCATAATTTTGAGGAACCTCAAGAGAAATTATTTTATTTTTGTGGAGATTTCTCAAAGAAAATATCCAACTTTTAGTACTTATCCATTCAAACAAATGACTCATTAACAATAATGTTTTACAATGATGTACAAAACTCACTACTAAAAACTGAATTACAACATTCACACAAATTTTTATGGAATATGACAAATTGTATCTTTAAATGCTTAGAAGATATAACTTTTTATAATTTAATTTTAAAATATATAATATAAATAAATTATAAAAATATAAATAATATCTTTTATTTCATGTACTTTGGACATCTAAAAGATTTTAGAATAAAAAATTTGGAGTTGGAAATTTTTCAATAATTAATTCAAAATATGAATGGTATCATTAAAGTGCATTAGGTGTCAAAGACATGAATCTCAAAGAAAGAGAATCCTCAATATACTCTTGTGTCACTGAAGAGAACTAGAAAGTCACTCAAAAGATAATCTAATATTAACTAGAATGACTATTGCCAAAAACAAGAAGACTAGACGTCACGAATATATATATTTAGCTCAATAGTTACTTATATGATTAAGTAGAAGTAGGTAAAATAGAATAATTTCATAAAGTCTTCTAAAAAAACTTCCTAGAAGCTTCATAGATGCGGTATTGACTTTAGATGTGTTTGTAGGTTAGAAACTTGGCCAAAAAGCTAATCATATATTGGTAGCTTGTAGAACAAGTTATCTCCGTATAGTAGCTTGTGGAACAAGTCAACTACATGGTGCATACATAGATAACTTGCCTTGCAAGATAAGACATGTGGGTAGCAAAGTCAACACATGTTGGAGGTTCTATAGGACATTACCACGTAGCTCTTAGTTAGATAGTATATATAGAGGCAAGAGTGAAGCCTTCTTTATTCTTGTCAACGCCTTTCTAGCCTTAGTCTTGTTTCAAGACTTTCTAGTCTTTTTTGTTTTTGGCAATAGCCATTCTAGTTAATATTACATCACCTTTTGAGTGACTTTCTAGTTCTCTTCAGTGATAGAAGAATGTATTAAGGATTTTCTTTCTTTGAGATTTATGTCCTTGACAGTTTGACAAGAGTGCTAACATATTATTTTTGTCTTGTTTTAGGAGTGAGTGGATTACCCCACTTCTATTGTTGTGTTTTGAAGGTTGTGGACTACCCACCTTTAAATAAAAAATCTTGTTTTCTAACACTGATCTTTTCTTTAAAGACAGTGGATTATTCCTCTTTGTGGGATTTATTTTTAGAGGTTGTGGGTTACTCTCCTCTAATTTAACTTTTAAATTTGTTTGAGTTGTCTATGGAAGGAAAGATTATAGATGCTACTCTCAATGGAAGTGAGAATAGATTTGTAACTATGGCAGATCTTCATGAGCTTGTCAATACTTTGAGAGTGGAAATCTCACGTATTTTCAATGTGAATCATGGAAGTATTATGCCTACGCCTATAGAAGAAGTTTAAAGTCTAGAAAAGAAGTTATACAGTTGAAAGAAGCAAGTAGATCAACGTCACAATCAAATCCAGGGAGTTTTGCTTCTACAAGTATGATAGGGACAAGGATTAGTATGCGTGAGAAGTTTGATGGAATAAGATCAAAATTTCGAGGATTTTTGCAACAAGTCAAGTTCTATCTAAGGTTGCACCTTTTTTAATATCCTGATGGATTTATCTAAGTCGGATTCATAGACGCACTACTATCAGGAAGTGCTTTCTCTTGATTTACACATTTAATGGAAAAAGATTCATGACTCTTTTATGATTTGAATTTATTTCTAAAAGTATTTACGGCCATATTTGGAAAAAGTGATCGAAAACGAATAGTACAGATCAAACTTTTATCCTTATGACAAGGATCACAATCAGCTACTACATATGCTGCCAAATTCCAAAACCTTGCTTGCGACATGGATTGGAACGACAAAGCACTTATCAACCAATTTCGATATGGATTGAAGGATAGCATCAAAGATTTGTTATTAATAATGCCAAAAGTAGAATCTTTCAAAAAATTTATTACTCAAGCCATTGAATGCGACAATTATTTATTTGAAAGGTGTCAAGAACAAAGATTTGGTTGAAGAGGAACAAGTCAAGTAATGGCAATAACTCCTAAGTTTTCTGAAACGTATTCTTCAAAGCCAGAACCAATGCAAATTGATATAATACGTTTTAAACCTCTCACAAAGCAGGAAAAGACTCAACTTCACTAAGAGGGGTTGTATTTATATTATGGAGAAGCTAAGCACACTGCTCCATATTGTCTAAAGAAGCAACAAAATTATAAAATGAGGAGCATAATTACCAAAGAAGATAATGTATCAGAAAATGAGTTTTTCTAGCTACAATAGAGACGGTGCAGTTGGAATCATGTGCAATATCTAATAAAGGTCCTATCGTCTCCTCAAATCCCTCACCTTGTTTTATAATAGAAGTATATTTAAGATCTAATAATCACAAAGCCTTTGCCTTATTAGATTTAGGAGCCTCAGCTTGTTTTATAGACAAAGATTTTGCCAAAAATAAAAAAAAAATATCTTTAGTGAAGAAAGTCAAATCCGTACATGTAGAAGTCATAGATGGTCGTTCATTGTCTTCAAGAAATGTTACCCATAAAACTATTCCTTTAGATATAGCATTTAAAGATCATAACATCATAATAGTATTTAATGTAATAAAATCTCCTTTTAATCTGATTATTTTAATATTATTATGGCTAGAAAAATATAACCCTCAAATAGATTGAATTTCTCATAACCTTAACTTTTCTGATAGTATAATCCAAGATAACTCTATGATTATATGCCAAGTTAGAAAAGTATGTATTCCACACTACTCAAGTTAACTTTTAAAGATACATCATTTCCAAAAAAGGCCTTATAATGGATCTCAAGAAGGTTCAAACTATCATAGATTAGAAGATTCCAAGAACACTATAAGATGTATAGTACTTTTTGGGCTTTGTTAATTACTATCAAATCTTCATCAAGAATTTTTTCCAAGTTACAGTTCTACTTATACATTTGACTTGTAAAGACAAATTTGAGTAGAATAAAGAAACAGAAGCATCATTTGATGCTTTAAAGAAAGAATTTAATTTTGTATCAATCTTATATTGCATTGACTTTTCTAAGGTATTTTTTATGGACACAGATGCGTCAGATTTTGCTATAGGTGCCGTATTGTCACAATTAGGAATAGATGACAAACTCCATCTAATAGCTTTCCATTCGAGGAAATTTTTAGCAATTGAGATTAATTATGACATCCATGACAAAGAGCTCCTTACAATCATGGATTCATTTCAAGAATAGTGTCATTATCTAGAAGGCACCTCAAGTCCAGTTACTGTGTATACAGACCATAAGAACCTCAAGTATTTCATGTCAACACGTGTCCTAAATTTTTGTCAATTCTATTGGAACATTTCTTTATCTAGATTCAATTTCAAGATCACTTATCAACCCAAAAAACAACAAGGTCTATCGGACGTTCTTTCTAGATGTTCTCATCTTACACCAAAAGAAAGAGATGGATCTTTTGATCAACAAAGATCAACTCTCTTGAAGCCCGAGCATTTTCATCTTTGAGCTATAAAATCAACATTGACTGTTGATTCAATATTTGTGAAGCAAATTCAATCAAGCATGTCCTCTGATCCTCTTATTCAGGATATCAAGGATACTTCTTCTAAGTCTCATAATACTTCTAAGTTTGAATTTAAGAATAATCTATTATATTTTGAAGGATGCCTATATATTTCAGAAGGTGAAGATTGATTACGTAGTTTTCAATCTCGTCATGACTTTCCAATAGCATGACATTTAGGATACAATAAAACTCTAGAACTAATATCGAGGGATTTTTGGTAGCCACAAATATGGAAGGCAGTCAAAGATTTTATACAATCTTGTGATATTTGTTCAAGATCAAAAACTCCTCATTATCAACCTTAGGGACTTCTTTAGCTATTACCCATTCCAAAACAACCATGGTCTTTTATTTCTATAGATTTCAATATGGATCTTTCAATCTCAAGTTCTTATGATTCTATATTCGTGATAATAGATCATTTTACGAAGATGATATATTTTATATCATGTACAAAATCTATCATAGGTGAA